ATATATATATATATATTGCGTTTTTATTAAAATATCTTTAGTCTAAATAAATATGTGCATAAAAATAAAATAAAATGTTTTGCACAAGGGAGAATATTATATGAAATATTCGATGAAATAGATATGAAATAGTTTTGATTCTTTTTATGTGTGTGTCAATATTTATTATATTTATACTTGAAGTTAGTGAGAGAGAGAGAGAGAGCTTTTTCTCAAACGAAAACAAAATATCAGTTGCGTGACGCTTAATTTACGGAACAATTTTATGTGCAGATTTTCTCGTATGAACATCTCTCTCGTCTTCGTGGCATAGAGTTGCGAATCAATTTATAAACAGACGATTTTTTTTTTAACGACCAGCAAAGCTGCTGTCAAAGCATCTACGAAAATCTACTTCGCAAAACTATCTTAATTACTTTATTTTCTCATTTGGCGCCTGATTAGACCCAGATTTCGAAAATTTATTTTTCTTAATAATCAACTATTATTTATATTCTTTAATTTTCTCATTTGGTGTTGATTTTATATACAGCTTCCGGAAATTAATTTTTCTTGATGATTATTAATTAGTTGTCGTATGAGGGGGATTGTGTGATATATATATATATATATATATATATATATATAGAGTGTTTTTAAAAATATATTGCCAACAAGTTAGGCAAGAGAGATACGAGGTTTAATATATATATATATATTGCGTTTTTATTAAAATATCTTTAGTCTAAATAAATATGTGCATAAAAATAAAATAAAATGTTTTGCACAAGGGAGAATATTATATGAAATATTCGATGAAATAGATATGAAATAGTTTTGATTCTTTTTATGTGTGTGTCAATATTTATTATATACTTGAAGTTAGTGAGAGAGAGAGAGAGAGAGAGCTTTTTCTCAAACGAAAACAAAATATCAGTTGCGTGACGCTTAATTTACGGAACAATTTTATGTGCAGATTTTCTCGTATGAACATCTCTCTCGTCTTCGTGGCATAGAGTTGCGAATCAATTTATAAACAGACGATTTTTTTTTTAACGACCAGCAAAGCTGCTGTCAAAGCATCTACGAAAATCTACTTCGCAAAACAGACATTTCCATTATTTGCATAATTGGAAAAAATGCGCTGAGTGCGTGATATTGAAATGTGAGTTTAACTAACGGGTTCGTAAACATCTCGAAAGCTATGCTTCACGATCATAGAAAGTCTTGTCATTTGATCAAAAGCTATGGTATATTCTCGCTCAATGATTAGTGAACCCTTTGGACCTCGGTAGTAAAGATGCCACGCGGAGAACATTTGTCGATTGTGCATCGCCGCTCCGGGTATCTACGAAAAGTTATTTGCGCAATTTATGTTGGTGATACGAAACACATTATTGCATTCTCCACAGCATTGCACGTTTCTGCGATAAAAGAGGGATATTGTACGACGCAATGGCAATGTTATAAAACAATGATATCTATAATTTTTCTCTGCTTTGTGTTGCCCTCGTCTGAGCTCTGGCCTTTCCTGATCTTCGAATTGTCATAATCTACTAAAGTAGTAATCATTTAAACAAAGATATTACATTTTTAACATTTTAATTAATGTTGTATATAAATCACCCTTTTTGTGATATAAGACTTTTTTTTGAGATATTCTCTTTTTCTGAGAAACAATAATGTTGTAGTGAAAACGCAAGATGAAATAATTTGGTGGAGAACATCATTCTGATTTACGATTGTGCGGTGTAATAATTTTTAATATTCCAAATATTTATAATTTATCCGTGTAGCTAATATAAAATGGGAGATTTCTAATATTCCACGTCAAATTATTAATCAAAACATTGAGTTGCAATAGAAAAAAGAATAATTCTGAGAAAACTTATAAAATTTAATGAAACCATTTAATAAAGCCACAATTAATATTTCATGTATCGTAATGTAAATTAGATTATAATTATTTTACAATAAATCAACAAAAAAGTTTATAATTTTTCAAGATTTTTCTTCAATTTATCATACATACATAGTCTTCTAAAAATTGTTTATTTATAAAACTGTTAATTAGGCATTTTTAACAAAATGTTTTGAATATAATGACGGATGCGTAGATTAATAGATGATTATTTAGTTTCTAATGATGTATAGACAATAAGTCAATTTTTCTATAACGTGTATCTGTGACAAACCTAATCTTTTTTTTTCTACGGATAGAATGCAAGCTAAGGAATGTTAAACCCGTTTCTTCTCTCGCGTATGTGCAGGCATGCCGCAAACAAATCCGGTAGCCAAACTCGCGGTAACATACCGCGTGCTTCAACGCAAAGTTATATGGGCGCGAAGTGCATCCCGAAAATAGCGTAGCCGTCGACAGGTGGGTAGTGGGCTACGTCATCTCGTTCCCGCGTCGACGTCGCTTTTTCTGGAATTTCGTCCGTGTATATGAATGACTCAAGTCGCATGCGAAAACGTATGAATCGCGCGGATGGGAATAGAAACGCGAGCGGACTCGTGGGCTTTCATTCTTCGTTGTTCATCCTCGTTTCGAGCCGCGATCGCGAAGAATCATGGACAAGGTCGCCTTTGCTATTTCGCACGTATATTAATCTATATGTATATGTTAAGTCTGGGGAATGAAAAGAAACATCTGAATTTTAAGGCTTTTTAATCCCACCCTATTGTTTCCCCTCTAATGTTTCTGTCGTACTCGATTTAAAAGACGGCAGCTAAACGCTTTGTTAATAATATCATTAGTATTTTATTTAATCTTGAAATGTGTGTAAGAAAATTCTCTAGCTTGCGATTGTTGATTCTTTGAAATAATTATACAAAATTAATCTGTTAGAATGTTATTTTTTTAAGTTAATTTAAAGTTATCGTACTGATATGTTTGATAAAACGTGCGATAAAAAATGCTTCATCATTCATTATATAATATACAAAAAGAAATATTTATTTTTTTATCGGTCTTAAAAAAATATACAACGATAATATGTTCTATGATTGTCATTTTCACCGAAATTTAAAAATAGTTTCCGAAATTTCAAAGGTCGACAGAAAAATACTTTTTGTCATAATGGCCAAACAATATAATCTGATGACTTGATCGGTGACACATGTTTTTCCTCGAAAGTTTCGTTCCTCAAGTTCCATTTAGTTTTGTCAATCTCATTTTTAAAATATAATCAAACTTCTCTAGATACAAATGCAAAGTTAATCCTGGTATTTTTCCGTATAATATTATGCGAACAATAATTTGTGCATAAGAATTGATATAAATTATTAGTAATATTCACACAATTACTAAACATTTTATTTCTTTTTACACGTTCGTATATTTTCTCAAGTCTAGCATGTATTATGTATGTATGTATTTTCTGCAAAAAATAATTTTATATCTGTTTATATTTTTATCATAATACTGTGTTTTATTTTTTGAACGCACACACATATAGATATTATTATTAAAAGGAAGAAAAATCATACACGCACATATATTGCAGCGTTAAAATAAAAATGGTTATAACTATAAATTAATAAAATTAAAAAGGCAATAAACTAAAAAATTGATTCTAAAATATTTTTGAATTATATTCAAAAGCATCTATTAATTAATAAAATATAAGATTTTTTAATTGATAGAAACTATTGAAATATTATATTTTATTGCTGGGAAAGAGCTGTATTTAATGTTGTTAATTTAAATTATATATGCAATTATGTTAATCTTTTAATACATGTGATGCATCAAAACACAACTGTATGTATGCAAAAAAAACTTAAAGTATCCATTAGAAATTTTATATCATTGACATGAGTGGATGCTACTATGTTTCGATGGAACGACAGATTGTTCGAGTAGGAGAATGTTGACCTCCGAACCGAAAGGTCCAGTCGATTATATCAGTTGTGGCTTGAACTCCAATGACGATGTTAGTTAAACGATTGTATACTCGTGTGTCTACCCTCGTTTCTCGGTTCGTTGATGCAATCATATATAAAGACTTGTTGTATCGTCAAGCACTTCAATTGTGCGGTTCTCTTCGAATATTACAGAGTCGAAAATGGAGCTTACTTTTGATTTGTCGCAAACTAAGAAATGCACGCGAATATCTCTCTTCC